TAAATCATTTTTTTCTTTCTTGAGTTTTAATAATGTACTGCAAAAAAAATAAAATAAAATCACAAAAAAAAAATAAATACAAGAAATAAACCAAATTAAGATATTATGACTTTAACGAATGACATCTTGACAGCTTTTTTCGAAATCTAGCTCTCAGAGTAAATCACTCTCATTGCTGAGTAGTTATAACATTGATAAGACCTAAGTAACTGTATAATATACAAATATTGTGATCTATATTAAAATATGTCCATTTAAAATGGTTGTAGGTACCTATGTAATAATAGAAAAACCACTTGGATGAAAAATAAAATTTCAAGGTAGAAAATTACTAGAAATGTTTTGTTTTATATTGACCAACTACAACCTACATAATATTTTATAAAATATAGGTATAACCGCTGACTTGGACAATTATTGTGTAGCTACAGTAAAATATACCATTCTGTATACTTATATTATAGTTCTGTAATGTAGTTAACAGTTTTGAACGTCTGTTGCTAACCTCCCAGGGAGAGGACTTCAAAACTTTTCGTTCCAGACGTCGAAATTTGAAAACCATCACTAACGAGTGTGCACATATATTTTAAGTATTATATATAGCATAATATATTATATAATATATATTATACATATATTGGCGTGTTTTCCCGTATACAATTAACACGAGAGTTGCGGGCGGGCAGGTGGCCCGGAATTTCCTTGAATAAATTATAGTCACTCTGTAAGTGAAAAGTAATGTTGTTGTCTGTTGAACGAGGGTTGTTTGTTGATGGCGAATAAATTAACCGTCCCGGTGTTGTATTACAGGCATGCACGCCAAACGATGAGCAAGTCGAGAGATGAGTAGACAGTGCGCAGCAAATTGATCGCCACGTTTAGTGGTTTCTGTATCAGGGAAATTATCTTGCTGGCAATATATAATATGCATATATAAAATATACATAGATATATAATATATTTAGGTATATAATACATATATAACTTGAGCAGCTCTCGTGCACGCCGTACATCTTCTTCAAACTTCAGCTAACATTGATTTAAATTCAAAATTGATATAACTGCCTTTTGTACAACCCTTAAACTATTACAAGTTTATTTCACAACCATAAACAAAATTAAATTAAATTTGTACAAGTGAAGTCAAAACAATTTAGGCATTGGTACTACTATAGAACGATACCTACCATTTTTAAGGATTAAATATGAGCAATTTTCTACATTCGATTTAAGAGCATGCAGATTATCGGGTTACTATGTGTGCTACAGGATTTTGTGCAAGGTTTTTTAGTTTTTTTTTATTCCAAAAAATGGAAAAAAAAACCGTGTATAACTAAACTTTATACGCATAGTCATACACAATTGAAATAATCAACATAATACAAGTAAGTACACCTAAAATAATATTTCGCAGTCTGGTTTCTTGTTAATTTTTACTCTTGAAAAAAAATGTTTGATACCTATACATTATCACATCTTCTTATTTTACAAAAAATTAAACAATAATCACTAGTCACTACAGTAATAATAACAATATTTATAAAGATAATGAATAATAATACAAAATATATGTATGTGTATGAAAATAAATGACATTTTGTATTGAATTATAATTATACCAAATTACAAAATAATGTACCATTGTACCTGTACTATTACAATAATTTAAACATTCCCAACACAAATTAACTTTTTTTTTGTACATATCACCCTTATGATTCTTTTAGTAGCTTAAATGTTCAAACTATTAAATCCAATCATTAAACTATATTATGTACCATTTGCTTCAACTTTTCTCTTTGTTATCTTGTAATTATTACAATGTCATACATAACTGTCGAATTTTAAGAGGATGCGCATCAGCACACTATTTGTTTTCTCTATATCTATCTGACCCGTGCCTAAACGTTATACATTTTTGTGTAGTAGAACCAACCTAGTTTGTGTGGTTAGCTTTAGTATTAGAGTTTATTGACCCATTATGAAACTTAAAGTTACGAACATTAAGAATATGTGTTTAATATTTGATACGATATTTAAATTTTAAAATGAGCATTTTTCAGCTATTATATTTTACATACTCATAACATGCATATAATATGAAAAAAATAAAAGTACAAACAAAGATAATGTTCCTTACTGAACGCAAATAAATTTTCCAAGTTACGCGTGGGTTAGAGAGAGAAAACAAATGTAGTGCGCTGACATCCTCTTTAATAATTATTATTTCGTACGACCCTAGAAAATCGTATAAAACATTACCTATATAACCGTAGTTCTTTGCTATCGAAACCTGAAGGCTGAAATACTTATTTATGTTATGAATTATTTACTGTTTATATATTTTAGTAAACATTTTGTAATTTTCTGTTCTTTGCAAGCGTTATATAAAATGGGCATTATGTGACCTATTATAGTATTATCTAAGGTTTAATCAACAAAGGAGTGTTATTATAATATGAAAGACCAGCAATAGTTTCATAAAAAATCACTTAAACTCCATGTTAATGCAGAAATATTATTAAAATTATTCTTCAGAATAGTAACGGGAAATCAATAACTTTTAACTTCTCAAAGTACCAGCATGCTGGTATAGTGGTATATTGCAATATCTATAGTTTCGATTGAGTATTTTACCAAGTAAATGCAACAATTGTGTTCGTTTTGGGCATACACATAATAATCACAGTTTTTGCAATATTTTATCGGATTCGTGTTATTTACTGTAGCGCACTAAAAATATGACATTATTCAAATTGATGATGGGTGTATCTCCATACTGTCATACTATTATTGTGTCTGATTTTTACACATCGTATCGCTTCATCGTAAATTATGTCGATTCAACAAAATATGATGTTGGTACGTCAAAAACATATTATGTTATAATATAGCAATACCTATGTATTATAAAAATGATTGTCGGGACTGAAATTGGGACCAGGATGAAAGAAAGGGGCCTGAGATTATAGAGGTTTGCGAGTGACGAGTGATGTGATACCATAGTATACAAAAAGCAATCTGCAGTTGTCGCAGCACTTTAACCTCGCACACCATTGAAGCATAAACGATTTCCGAGGTACTTAAATATAAAATCATTATATAATATAGCAAATACTATAGGCATATACAAACGTATAGATTCAAAAAATGGTACAGGGAAAATATCTAAAATTATGCATAGATTAATGTTCACCAAGCAAGTTCCATTCAATTGAAACAAATATGTCAATAAACATAATGTATATTATTTGTCACTAATCAATAATACATTATTCTGATATAGTACACAACCTTTAATTTTGGGCTCTTATGTGTAACAATGGAATTCAAACATTGACAGTATCGAAGACTGATTGGCGATACCTGCAGAGAAGAGGATTATAGAGTTATTTGGTCACTTATACTGGTGATACGGACATTTTTGGTATCAAGTCATGATGCCAAGTCTTCAGATAACTCTTTCAAATAATATTATTATTCCCAAAGATCGGTAAAAATAATCCTGGAGACCATGTAACTTAATTGAATTTGAGAAATTTAAATAAATATAAACATGTCTATTATAATAAAAACAATAATTTATTATCTCAATACAGTTGCTTGAACAACTTAAAACGGCCACACAGTTATTTTGTAAATGTTATAGTATCGTATTCCTTTTATTGTGTTTTGTTGAAACTATACATATGTATATATTTGTACAATTTGTGGTTAGTGGATTCTCATCTCGTTAATGCAAGTCGAGCAGGGGATTCGCATGATGGTATATTGGTATACAATTGGTATCAAACCTATACCTACCTCATAACATGTAGGTATAAACCACGAGTGTATGTTCTCGTATTCAAAATAATATCTTATATTACAATATCGGGAATGTGTTATTCGTATTGATTTACAATATTTAAGACAGGACCATAAGTATACTCTTCATGCTCACTCAAGCAAGTGTCTGTGATAGAGTACGAGGATCCGAGAGTGAACATCTGAGGAGACACGCTGGGTGAGTCACACGTATGATAGCCCTGTTGTTCCTGCCGATGATCTTCCTTTGATTTAATCTTGATGTATCGTTGCCGTGGAGCTTCCCTGTTTATTATGACAACAGATTATAAAAACTGATAATTTCAAATTCTTATTCTTGTTTTGTGGAAAATATGATTACTGTCCTGTAGTATAATATGATGGACTTCTTATTGATTTTGCTGGTCGATAGTGTTTCGGATTGAATAAGCGTAAGTATATGGTACAATAATCTAAACATACATTGGCATGTTTATTATAGGTACAAATTACTATTTATATTTTTTTTTTGAGCTTTGCATTTTGCTATCATCTTTCATAGTTTATTCATAAATAATTAGTCACCTAAGTCGCACAACTGGATTTAGTGATAAATGAGTGGATCCTCGTAATTTATTAACAAATGTAAAAATTGTTTCGGCCTTACAAGTCTTTGGGGTCAAGCTAAGAAACAAATCAATAACATATTTTTTGATATTCAAGGGTTTGACGCATCTAAACGCACGATTGGTAATTTTTATTAAATTTGATAACAATTTATAATACCTAGCTAGTCCATATTTATATGTATGATCATCGGAATCTTTTTTAAATATTAACCGGTAAAAGTGTACTATTGATATTTATAGAAAATAAATCAAAATTGACAAATGACAATAAACACTATGTACACAGTTTAAAAATAGTCAAAATATTTTTTAAGAGATTTTTTTATTTCAAAGAAATTCTAATATAAACATTTTGTAAAAATTTAAAGTTTCAACAGTTACTAAATTTGTTTTTGAGTTAAAAGGATAAAAACATAGATATCATCAAGAATCATTTATTATTTTTGTTTTTCCTCGTTATTTTAATATATTTTTAAATTTTAAAAAAAGTCTAAAGTCACGATGAATAGTAATGTAGGTAGGTGTTTATTTTTTTAAATCACTCATTGTGACTTTTATACCTTATATTTTCATTTTCAGAAAATAATTATTTTCAAAGAACCCATAAATTGGAAGGACTGAATCATGTGGATGGAACTAACCTTCTGTTTATTTGTGACAGCAATTTTGGTATTGGTGCTTTTTATCTTGAATATAGATTCCGCGGAAGGTGACGATGTACCTAAATCCCGATGGTCTAGACTGCAGAAGTTATGGGACGAAGGCACATTTAAAAATAAACCATTGAAAGTTTCCAAGGATGTGATATATGCTATGATGCAGAGAGGAATTTACTCACTAAATTCCGACGTCGAAAGAGACGACGATGGCGGTGAGGTGCGTCTGTGGACCCGTGAGATGCTCGAAAAGTCGTTTTTCAAACTAGAGCAAAGTCAACCTAATATTTTGTTGCTTAAGAAAATTGCAAATGATTTTGTTGAAAACGTGGAGAAAAGTATTGAAGAATATGAGGTCAGTGTCTTTATTTTATTAATGTTAGGTACTTACAATTGTTCACAATACACACTATATACATATTATACCTGATATAACATATTATTTTGGTTATTTTTGTTATTGGTATACCTGGAAAAAATATAATAAGAGAGTATTGAAGAGGATTGAATATAAATAGAAGCTAATAACTATTATAACGGTGTGTTCATTGTCTTCCTCATCCCATGTTACATTTTCCTTTTACATTGGAAAAAGAAAGAATTTACAATAAATTAATTTACACTAAATTATTTAATTATTACTAAATATTCGTATATACAGAGTATCCCGTGAGGATTTACCCATTGCGATATATCCTGTGATAATCCAAGCTATTATGTAGAGTTCATTTTTTTGAAAATATTGTTGTTTCAACATTTTAATTTCATTAATCTCCTGATTTCTAATAATTTTTCAAGTTTGAGAAATACTGAGAATTATTTGAGACCGTCCTACTATTATAGTAGTGTTATGGACTATGTTGAAACGTCAATATTTTTAGAAAAATGAACTCTACAAAATGGCTATATTCAATTTTTTTTCAATAATTAATTAAAAAAACATATTTTTTAACTTTTTTACCAAAACATTAAAAAAAATTAAAACATAAATTATTTGTAGTGCTTGTTCCTGTGAGTCTTAATAAAAAACCCGAATTATGATTTCTCATTATTTCAGGAGATATCGCAATGGGTAAGTCCTCACGGGACACCCTGTATGTACATTGTTTTCTTAGGTACCTAACAATTTTAAACGAGATAGATTAGTTCTGTTTCGTTGATGAAATTGATTAATTTTTTGGACGTCTCGGGAGTGTGTGCTAGTATCTTATATAGGGTCTCCAGTAATTCCAGTTTGATTTTGAATTTTATTGAACTGGCGACATTCGAGTAGTATGTACTTGACCGTAGGGCATGAGGGTGAGCTTTCTTTGGCCATGAGGTATCCGTGTGTCATGCGGGTGTGGACTATTTGTAGACGGACAATAATTACCTCGTCCCTTCTAGACAAATTATTATTAAGGTTAATTCATTGGAAAAGTTAGTCGGAAATATAATATTTCCAATTACATAATCACAACCGAATGTAAGTAAATATGGAAAACTGAATTTCACTATGTTGTATTTAAATCTTAGTAAGATACCTAGTATAGTAGTATACACCGAACAGCGTATGAAAAAAAACCAACTAGAAAACAATAGATATTTAAGTATAAATTAAAAATAATGTATATTATATTGTGCAATATATATATATTATTACAAATTGTAGGTACCTACTGGCTACTATGTATATAGATAAAAATATATTATAATATAGTATTATTCATTTCTTTTAAAATTATAATTATAGTATAATTTTCAATCGTTATACTAGTATATTTATTATATTTTCTATACAACGGATTTAATTATTATATTGATAAAAAGGATAATCTATGCAAATTGAATAACGATTTGGGGTGGATCACTGAGGCTCATCAGCTCATAAAGAAGGAGATCCAAAAACAATTGTGCGAGACAGAGAAGAAAATCCCAATAAGCGACAACTGCAAACAAACCTGGATAGCGCCATTGCCATCCTTTCGATGCCCAATAATTGCAGACGCCAAAGCTGAGGACGACTTCTTGACCACATTAGATCAATTTGAGAAATCAAGAGGAATCCCATAGTTAGCATTTGTATGACTAACAGCAAATATAACTACAGGACATTTATATTAGTGATATAACACTTTATTTTAAATCGTAACATTTTTTATTCAATAATAATAATTACTATTGCTATTTTAATTGATTCAAATATTTATAATAATTTTGTTAGTTTTATGTAGCTTTAATTCAAAAATATGCATTTTGAATTATTTCATACTTATATACTTTCGATAATGATGAAAAAATGAACTACCTTTTTTAATTTTTAATTAAGGTCCATGCCCAATCTTAATATCTAACTATCTATGCTTAACCTTAAAGTTACATCTTAATAATTATTGTCACCTAGTGCCGACTATGCTGATGAAAAGTTATACGATCAATACATAATCATTCGTTAATTGTCTCAAGAAATTTACAATCTCGTTTAAATTTACTTTCTGAATGGTACGCAAAATGGTGACTAAAATTAAACCAAGGAAAATTTGGTCATCCTTCATTATAAGACTGGAGTTTGTCCAAATATCAACCGTAAATAACCTACATATTCCTCCTCTCGAAACTGTAAAATATTAACGTCTAAATCTCAATAAAAGACAAACTAGGCAAAATTATATTAATTAAAGACGATTAATCCTTAATGCACGCTCCCGATATTTAAAAATGTAGCTTTCAAAAAATAAATTCACTACTTTAAAAACTAAATTATTAATATATAAATTGCTCTTAAGGCTGTCATATGGAAGTAAGGAATAAAAGTATGGACATAGGTTAAAAAACCAAAAAACCACTAAAATTTACTATTTAATAAAATTTAACATATCTCGTCACTCCCAGAAAATCCTCGCCATAGGCTTAAAAGCAAACTCAAGTGAATCCAAACCAAGTATACCTATCGCCTATCACTAGTGGGCGACTCCTTAATACCGCAACCCCAATAATGGTTTTATCCCTTACCAAACATATAATTATTGTTTGTGTAGATCTATATTTCATACATAAATAAAAAATAATTTTTTTAATTCTATACTATATCAACATTATTAATCATAAATATAATTATTGGTATTTTAATTTTTGATGTGAGCTATACCGAAGAAAGAATATTTGGTAATCATAATCTTTTATGAAGATTTTATTCTTTCAAATTCAGAATGATAATTAAAATTTTATTTCTGAAATATTTGACATAAATATTTAACTCCATAAATTGAATTTGGATTAAATTGATTACCAAAAAATACTAGTTTTTTAATGCATTATATATTTCATTATTAAGCACAATTATTATTTTTTTAACATCAAAATCCTCTAATATCTAATATCTAATCTCCATAATCCCTCTAACCCTATTAACCCACTACGTCGACTCAAAAGAAACTGGGCTAGAGACCTTCTGTAACTCATCTTAGTACAAATTAGTTTCCAATACTATTTTTCTTTCTTTTTTTGAAGTGGTGTCAATGGGCTCCTTCTTCATGCACGATATTCATGCGTTGTAACTTATTGTTCAGACATTTTTACTTATTGTATTATGTATACAGATTGTAATATTTTCTTAATAAAATAAAAAAAAAAACATCAAGATTTATTGTAACATTTAACTCTAATTTATTCATTTATAATTTTTAAAATTCTTTTAAAAAAAAATTAATTTAAGTATAATAAAATTTAATTAAGCAGTATTTCTATTCTAAAATCACCTACCTATTTCAATAACTTTTTTTCATACAGATTATCCTAGTTTGCATGTAACTTAATTCGAGTAATGAAATTAATTAAGTTTCTTTAAATGTCGATAAAAATGTTTTCACTCTGTCAAAACATTAAAAAAATGAATACAAGGTTCCTCATAAGTGGTTCATATTATTATATACTATTTAATAAACATGGAAAATACTGAGCCAAAATCTAGAAAATTTGCAAATTACATTGTAGCAAGAAATTCATAAAAATCAAAGATTTATGTGGTTCAATTAAAAACTGTAATCATTTTTGATTTGTTCAAGAAGTTTACTTTGAATCGGTTGGATCAATATTTTTAATAGTTTTATGCGTATTTAAAAAAAGAATAGATTTAAAACGTTTATCAACATCAAGAATTCCTAAAATTTGCTAAAATCTAGTTGTTATACTTAAAGGGTTATAAGTGAAAAATTCCTAGTACCTACTTATTAAGATTTCCGAGACAAAAAATGAAAAAAAAAACAGGTATACGCATACCCTTAATTTAATTTTTAATTATAACTTTTACCTTATAAAATTAATTTGATTTTTAAGTACATTAAAAACGAATGGTCTTAGGTTTTTTTGTTAACTCTTAAATGTTTTTGATCCAATTGTTTGAAATCTAAGCTACCTTTTTACTTTATATTTATCGGTCTAATAGAAATGTATCTGAAGATTTTACATTTAAATCATTGATTTATAAATTTTACTAATGTATATTATGTACCTACACTTCAACGATATTTTTAAAAAATTCATGTTAACTCACGGCGCTCTGTGTATGTAATTTAACAGCACATTACACGAATTTCATGATATCCAATAACTAAACTTGCAGTGAAGTTGATAGATATTAAAAATACATTATTTTTTTTACAGGCATTTAAAGTTCAAATTATGTTAAAATGTATAAAATGCTCAAATTGTATAGCTAAGTATTGGAAATTCAAACCTATAGGTCCAACCGTAGGTAGGTTATTCTGTTACCAAAAAACATAAACAAAGTTTTTTTTTTACTTATTTTATGTGAAAATTTGGACGAAATTACTTATTAAATAACCAAGTTGAATGATTAAAAAAAATGATTGAAAAAATGTTATTCGTAGATACTTGAAATGTTAGAGTATATTATTATATTTGATACACACAATTATTTTTTTGTGAAAATGAATTTAACCTACTGCAGTAATCACTAATGCTTAATAGTAAAATCAATTTCTTTAATCTCAATAATACCATCAAATGCACTAAATTACTAAGTAATAATATAAGCTGACATACTGTATTTACTCAGAACCGTATACAATGATTTTATATAATTGAATTTACATTTAACACAATGCATTGCAGTGACCCACTTGTAACCTACTGCAGAGCGACACCTGACCTTTAACGAGCAAAGATTTGTTTTTTTTTCTAAGTATATTTGTCAAAAAATTTAAGTTCCATATTTCTGAGACGGATTTATAGTGCTTTGCGCCTTCGTATATCCAGTGACTTTTCGTAGGTAAAAAGTATAAGGCTGAAAGCTGTGTTTGAGTGTCATCCCAAGTTAAAATCAATTAACTTGGAACTTATCCACCAAGTTAGGCAATCTTAGTATATTTAATAATGTGACAACTTCGACAAAGTTAGTATAGTACAAAGAACCTTGATCAACCAAACAAAATACAAAATATATCAAATGTAATTTACGTATCTGAACGTCAATAAGCATTGTATTGGTTACATAATGTATTTATGTACAACAAAAATGAGTGTATATATTCAGTATTATTATAAATACTATAAATTATTTTTATTTTTTGTGTCTGTGTACATAATAAGTAGTCGAAATAATACTTCTATTTTCAAGTTCAGTACCTTTTGTGGAGGGAAGATGAATTTAGTTGGTGCATTCAAGAGATCAAAATTGAAAATTTCCAGTAGTTTTCAAAAGAAACGGAAAAAAAGGCAGAAGGGAATTTTTTTTACCCAAAATCAGTTTTCGATAAAACCAATTTTTTGTTTCTTGATGCGATTCAAAAACGATTTACTATAAATATAATAGACAATAACAGTCAAACGTGGCATAATTATGTTTACTATATAAATTCATTACAATAAAGGTCATTGGAAATTTAACTAATCAAATATTACAATCCTTTTACAATCGATATTGTTAAAGCTTATTGAATATTATTACCATTTACCAAATGAAATTTTTGTACGTTTGACGTGTGTATATGTTTTAATTAATGCCTGGCAGTACCTATTGGCTATTATTAATTATTAAGGGCCGATTTCACCAACACAGTTAATCACGATTAAAGTTAACCGCGGAGTTAATCGGCCGAATTTGGCTGGTTAAATATCTGTTATCAGCCGATTAAGCGTTAACCGTGATTAACTGTGTTGGTGAAATCGGCCCTAAGTAGTAATAACTAATAAGTACAGTAAAAAATCAAAGTTATTAGTAACTACTATACACAGAGTATCATTGTTTTCTTCATTGTTCACGAAAAAAAAGACAGTTACGTAGACATTATAAATATATTATAATATTATGGTTATGTTAAAAACTGAAATACTAAATTATAATTTATTTGTCACTCTGTAGCACGTAGTCAACAGGTAATGTGATCATGCTGTAGATAATAGATATGTTTGTGCCTTGCTATATTAGTACAATTTATTAATGCTGAGATGACACATTGCAATCTCGGGTGTGGCAATTCGTAATATATAGCTATAGGAATATTCTGCATTTAGTTTTTTATTGTAGTCGGCATGTGTGATCCATTGCCGCTGTACGTTAGTGCGTTGTAATTGTGTCATTATAGGTACTCATTATTTATTAATGTTCACGGTGTTATAATTTGCTTACCGATTTAAGACTTAACTTAAACGCCACTTGATTAATACCTTAATCTCTTTCATTCAACGAGTTAAAAGGAACATCATTTTAAATATATTATTTTAATTAAAAAGATCAATGCAAAAACCAGACCATTCAATTTATCAAAACTTTTCAGAAAGTTAAAAAAAACCGTTTTAGTTTTTGGCGATACTTATCTTCCATTTTGACCATAGCTTAGTATTCATTCATTTTATTCATGGTAGTATTATATTTCCGACTCGAGTTATTGCATCTGTCTAGTTCTTGCAAAGATAAACTAGTATTTTTTTTCTTTATTAAATATTTCTATTTTATTATATTAATTATTGGTAGCCATTATAGATTACGAAGATGCTACTCAAATTCTATGACAATTGACAATAATGTATATATTTCTGATTTTTTATTTGCTAAAATACTGATTCAATACTCATAGTTTTATCCATTAACAAATACATTATAAATACATTAATTGTGTACCTGCCTGTATATAATATAATATTATGCATACTATTTGTCATTAATATAGGTATTATACCGTATTAATGTCAATAACTATTTTTCTAATCAAATTTTTAAAAACATTTTTGTAAGTACCTACAATATTTAAAACGAATTGTTTTTGTAGACTTATGTAGTTAACAAAACTAAAATGTTAACTATTCCCAGCTGTATTTAAAATTGTAAATTCATATGCAGGAATTGTTTCATGTATCAGTCATTGCAAACTAATGAAGAGTACAATTTGAAAATTGCCATCAGTTTTTTAAACTTGGAGGCTAGACCTATTCTTATTTTCGTGTTTTCGTGTGTTTACGTAGGTATTAATACAGGTAGGTACTATAGCTACCAAGGAAGCATGACTGGTAAGAGTAAAGAGTCCCCTGACACAAAAAAAAAGTAGGTACTAAGGTACTTATTATTTACTTCAAATAAAGTAATAAAGGTATATAATATTGCCTAACTGTTTAAAATCCGGAGAACTCGCTTTGCTGTATAATAGGTGTCACATGTATCTGGTCATTGTAATAGACAAGCATATTAAATTTAAATGCAATGTCAAATAAATAAGTCATTGTTCTTATATGAATTACGATTCTGAGTAGAGATGATTGACAATCAGTTTTCAATTTAAAGTATATTTCATGAAATAATTCTACTGATAATATAAATTTATTTATTTTTCTAATAATGAGAGGTAAGTGGTTGAACTAGTTTTTATCATTTTATGTAACGTTGTTTTGCACAATAAACTATTATGGAATTAATGAATTTAGGCAATTGAGTTATTAATTGATTTGAAGGACAAATATTTTTTTATTTTTTTGCTAGAAAAATATGTTGGTTTCTTTTACTTTATCAGTATTTTTTTATCAAACTATAAAATAATATACTCTGTAATGAATGATATGCTGATAAAATTTCAAAATTAAATTATTATTTTTAAACGATGGGGGGGGGATTATTTTGATTAAACTTCAAGGCTTCAATTTATATGATTACCTTTTGAAGAATTAGTTAAAGGCCCCACTGCGTCCCACAACTTTATTTGTGTACTTGTTTATTTATTTATTTATTTATTTAATATGACGGATGGAAGTCCAATTAAAATATATTACGCAGTATTTAAGAGTATTTGAGTTCAATAACAGTTTTATTATAATATACATACATATAACAGGAGAAAAAAGAAAACACAAATTTGTACTTGGGTTAAAGTACAACATAGTCAGGTTAGGATAGGAGAAGGGGGTGTTTAAGTTGACATACTTCATAGAGTTAGTTAGAGGTTCATTAATCTGGTAATCTGTGGTACATGACGGTGGTATAGTGATCGGAATAATGTTACTGATAGGGAGCTCAGGAACTCCAAAGTTAACGTGTTGAAGAAGAATCAGTTTTACCACAGATGAAAATCTGATTGAAGCTTAAGTCATGAACAAGACTTAAACATCGGCCTATTAGTAATACCTACCTACTACCAAGGATCGTAAGTTCATGTATATCATATCAATCTTACAGAGTTGTATTAAATGCGATATAACATATAGAGAATATCTTCATGGTGACAGGATTCAATATGTGAAATTTTATTTTACCTGTGGGTCATTGAACATTTAACATATTTTGGCTGAGTCTTGCATTTTTCACGTTTAAAGTTTTTTTTAAAGTTATTGTAAAGATAGTTTAGATATAAGTGATGAAACATTTTTTTTATGACAATAAATTACAAAATCTGTTTGAAAACATTAAACATACCATTTACATTTTAAAAATATAACTTATCAATATACGCGCAGATGGTTAAATGATTTAAAATGATGACCATGTTAAGTCTAATAAACAAGTTAGGAAAGATCTTCAGGAGAGTGTTAAATTACCGGTTTCTAAGTGCATTTTAATAGTTTACAACTCAATAAACTACAAATCCATACTCAATTTAACAACCTTTATATTTGTGTGCCTACTTTTAGCCTACTAAAAAAACCTACTCTATTATCTATTACCTATGGGTAAATATATTAGGAAATATTGATACAAACTCAAAATTAGTTATAACTAAAGAAGATTTAAATTTGTGTTTAAAATACGTTCAATTTGGAACTTAGAAAGAATATAATGAATTTGATAATATTTTTAGAAAACGTTCTGTTACATATACATTTTATATTATTATTTTTTATTTATAAATTTTCACTATTTTGTAAAACTTTTTTTGAATGATTTTTTTTTATAATCTTAACGTTGGCTTAAATTTTTCTAATGTTTGAATTTAGGTACTAAAAATAGTTTTTATTGGTTAAACAAATGTGGTGACTAAGTTTAGGGTTGGACTTTGGTGCATCTGACTGAAATGGACTCTGTTGACAGCTGCAAGTTTCACAAATTAAATGATTTGTATTACTTAGTTATTGTATAGTAGTTACTTACTGATATATTATTGTATTAAAATTGAATTATTTATTCATTTATTTTTCATTTAATATTGCCATTTTGTCATAAAACGAGTTATTATTTTAATTGTGATAGATACTGTTCATATAGTGTATTATGACTCTCATTTGTTGATTTTATATAGTTTATTATATACTTAAGTTAAATGTTCATTGTTAGGTGGTATAGAATGATAATTATAGTAATTTTACAAACTAATTGCAAACAATTAATAGGTAAAAATTATTCAATGAAATGATTTCTTTTAAAAATGAAGGGGTTAAGATAGGCAACTATATATACTATTCCGCGTAATATTTTGAATTGTCTCTACGACCGTTGTTAATAACTGCCGACTGGTGTTTCCAATAGTCCGATTCTAACTCTAATTTTATTTGTTGGCTAAAATTCTGCTTGTGCAAATATTTGTCAGCCAAAATACTGTCTGTTGAAATATTTTTCAGCTAAAATACGGTTCTGCCGATGCATACTTATTAAATTTATCCTATAAATTATTTTTTGGCTTAAATATTTCAGTCTATTTTACGCGCTTCCCTACTCAACATTAGCTCATAAATAAAGTTAATAAATAACTACTAAAATGACCAGCTATATTGTTCCAATTGATTTGACCAATAATATTAAATTCAATAATCGTAATTATATTATACATATATAGTTCTCTGGAGGTAAAACAAAAATAGAGTTAAATCATTAAAAAATGCAAATATTATTTTAATCTTTGTTTAGTCTGTCTATAAAATGCATAACAAAAAATATATTTGATTTTTTAGGCTACTTTGAACGCCTTTCCTCTATGTCTATTGTCTATACTAATGGTGTTATAAACTGTGGAATTTCTTAAATATTATTCAAATATAATATTATGTTGGGGACTTGAGGAACATTTTTTTAATTTAAATTAATCTGACCTAACCTGTTATTTTATTGATTTCATTGCATATTATTGGGTGCTCAAGGACATGAACATATATCGTTATAAATTATAATTGTCAACTTATTAACTGTTTTGAATGAAAACATTTATTTTTCATGCAATAGAAACTCGATTGATCGTCACTACTATGACGGTTAACAGAAAATTTGCCATACACGTATATTATATTTAACAAAGTTTGTAGCTAAAATGTGCTTATTATCATACAAAAACAATATTATACAAACACACATACTAAACAATATAGTCCGTAATCTTCTTTCGTTTCTTCGAGGCTCGATCTTTTTGAGTGGCAGTGTATCATGAACCGTAAGTATAAGAAGCTAGTACGAAAGGAAAAAAAGTTTTTTTGACGAACAATGGTGGATAACAGAGACAGTCAAAAGACTGAAGGTTTAATAGAGTTGTTACTGTACTGTATCCAAACCAGAATATATTTTTGGGAAATTGTTCGTATACAAATTTAATTTCAAACAAGTAGATATTTTTTTAAATTAGGGAGTTGTTTATCAACTTGAGAGGGAAATACCACTGTCACTCCACTGCGTTAGTGAAAATCTAAATAAGTAATAAATAATAATTAATAATTAACTTTTTTAATTTTTTTTATTATGGTATCGAGGACTGGAGGAGGAACTATGGTGCCAGTACTTCTCCTCCAACCCCCAATTAATATTTAACTAGAGATTTGATTTTTACATACAGCAATTTTTCTAATTAGCAACATTTTATTGAAAATGTGTTGTAAGTATTTAAAAAAAGTAAAAACATCAAAAATTATAACGATAACATGTATTGTTTACCAATTCATTCAAATGATGAATATAAAATATTTTGAAATATTTTAATACTTTTCGTGATAATGAATGTTTACTATAAAAATAATTAGTGTATTGTTCCATAGATATTATATAACGTTTATTTCAATATTATAGTATTTGTTTTACCTTTTACGAGTAGACGGTTAGAGAGAGCATATAATTTTATTTTATAAATTGTTTATATTATGTTTATCAATATATTTTTGTTTTAGAAGACTCTGAGTGGGACGATGAATGTATTGATTTGATTTTACAATGATATGTGTGTGTTTTTTCTGCCCAAACTTTATTCCCAATAGAAAAAAATGATACTTAAAGCTTTCTGTTAAAGATAAATAATTACCTATATGTACACACTTTTTAAGCTATTTTAAGTATAAGACATATTATATGAATTTTAATAGTTTTTTTTTTTTAACTACCTATTGTAGATAAAAAAATGTTCTCTCATTCAATAAATTTGAAAATTAATACAAGGCTAATCATAAATTGTTTTTAGTGGAATTAAAATAAAAAGGTTTAGTGTAAATTCACAACAATTTTAATGATCATTTTAAATTCGAATTTTGACGAGATTCGTCCAAAAATGCTAAAATTTGCAAGCTATTGAATATTTTGAATTTAAAAATGTATGAAATGTTCAATGTTTGTAGTTTATACTTGAATATTAAATACAATGTTCCTCATAATACTCATTAGTATTTCAAACTGTAAACATTACATCCAAAAAATGTGTTATCACAATTCTCGATTGTGAGCTTAATTAGACATTCACACAATCAGTAACGATTTTATTTATTTTGTTGTAATTTAAAAACATTATTCTTGGGTACTTGAAACTTTCAAAGTACTTATATTATAATATTTTATACATACAATGATATTTTCAAGTGCAATGTTTTCCGCAAAAGTAAATTTTACCAACTGTATTAATAAAAGTAAAATAAATTACTTATTGGATTAGAAATATCATAAAATATACTCAGTAGTAAAGGTTGACGTCTTCAATCATAATCGTTTTTTCGAAGGTCATAAATGATTAATCATTGAATTAAAATTGAACGCAATCATTACAGTGACCCACTGCATTCGAAAGCCATTAAATTGTGCCTTGTCGTATTGAAATAGATCTACATGGCATACGGGGGAAGTATGTTTACCCTGGTCTAATAAAAATGACTGAAAAACTATATGTTTTTAATTTACTGACTTGGGACTTAATCATAACACTGGAAAGGCGTAAAAGGTTGAAATAGGACGCAAGAAAGTTGTAATTATTGATACAAAAATCTAAATATTTTATAATAGGTTTTGTCTTCATGTACCTATAATGAAAGTTCTTAAAATTAAAACTCGAGTGGCATGTCTAGACTTTTAACTAAAGTGATTTCTAAGTGAAGCTTTGAATGTTATAATACAAAATTAAAGTATAAAAACACGTTTTTAAAGTTCATTATTGCCTCAGATGAAAACAACGATTTAATCACACAAAAATTGTTAGTACACAAAATATTTTTTTAAATTAAATTCCGTCGAACCAAAATCCTACAGCTTGGGATAAGGTCTATAAATATTAAATACCACCCTATGATTAAAAAATAAGTAGGGCGAGTATGCTCGGTGAATTAACTTATGTATTTTATAGAGTAGATTTTAAGGCTTAGTGGGATAGTGCGTTTGCGTTAATTAATATTCGATGTTATCGTACTCGTCACGAAAGCTGGAACTTAGGATTGGTGTTCCTGGAAATAAAAAAAAAAGCCCAAAAAGTGGCCCAAGGATCAAAATATTTCAAGGTATATTATAATAACCTTTCAGTTATATTTTTATCTGATCAGAAAAATTTAATTATTTACATAATATCTACAAACTGATGGTTAAAGCTCGAAAATAATTTTTTTTTTATAACAATTGTTATTTATTTTACAGATTTTACTGCACGCCACAATTTATACGTATTTGGTACTGCCTACCGAAGATAAATAAACATGAGGGAACGGGAATATTTAAGAAGTCACTGCCCGTTCAGTTGGTGGAAACCGAGTCTAGTATGGATGGTGATGTCGGCATTATTATTAGTTAATTTGGGGTATGGTTCTATAACCTGTGGCCCGGGTATCGAATCAGCTGGAGGTAAGAATACGAATTGCGAAATACGAATACGTTTTAAAAGAAATAGTAACATGTATGTTTTTCGAGTTACTGATATCATAAATCTTGTAATAAATAACGCCTTATATATTTCATATACAAGAATAAATATCTGAATCGGTATAAGATAATAGATTATGGTCAACAGGTATTCACGATTACGACGATTCGACCGTCACAATCTTTCAGAAATAACGAAATATTGGTATGAAGTTACAACATTAAATGTTGAACATTTTATCCTAAATGTTAAATAAATTATGTAAAATGTACAATTTTGTCCTGGAAATATTGAAAACTTAAACGTCTACCATTAAGATTTAAAAAATAAACTAACCTTATTAACTTTATTATTGAATTTTTTTTGTTTTGTATTTTTAACTCATACTTTGAACAATATAGGCTCAGAAGAAATTAATGATTTTACAACAATTGTACTCACTAGAGTACTAGACTACTCGTTTATTATTATTATTTGTCTATAATTTTAGTAACCGTTCCGAGATATGATATAGTCATCGAATACGGCTCCGGCACCCCCTTGGAAATCACGTGCGTGTTAGATCCCGACAATGAAAAAGTGAAAAACCTGTTTCGGAATGACACCATCGACGGGGGTGAAGCTAAAACGCCGAGTCAGATGATCATGTTCTACAAGAACGCCGAACGCGTGTCCAAGCAGTATATGAGGATTATCAATGCAACAGCTGCTCAATTGCGCATCTCCGATCCACCGGCTGGCCGAGATACCTATTATTGTACCCTGTTACTCGACGACCAACTTGGTCCAAACCACAGCTTATCCACACCAGCAAGTGATTCGTCGATATTTTCAACCCCTCCACCGACGACCTTGGAGACTAGTGGACCCCCTTCGTGGGTGTCACAATCCTCTGAGGTCGGAGTGTGTCTCAACAGTGTAGCCGTTGGATGTGAGTTACCTCTTTATTTAAACCCATTTTTTTTTGCCTGATGGTGTTTTCATGTCTGTATAAAACAATACTTATTGTGGTGTTTTCGGAGTGAAAGGTGAATGATTATTTGTAACCAAAATCTTTCAAAACTAAATAATATATGTAAGTATTTACATAGAATAGGTACTTACAATGATTTCAAATGATTTCATATGAATTCCTATCAAAATTATGATATTTCCCAAATGTTTAAAAATTGATCGAGACCAAAATATTTTGGATTATTATGGCAGCTATAATAATCCAAAATATTTTGGATTATTATGGCAGCTATAATAATAATTAATACATAGATTTTAATATAAAATTTTAGCTCAGAATCTGACTTTTAACTGTGTTTAAATGGTTTTTCATTCAAAGTATTATTTTTTAGATAAACCAGCTATAATCACAAACTTCTCTTGTATATCTTACAATTGGGTAAGTTTGAAATGCAATTGGACCAAACCAGAAAACCCAATTAGAACGACATATAAGTTATTCTTTAAATTACCCGGTTATGCTGGAGACAGGTATTGTAGAAAAGTAATTTAAAGTTGAAATTAGTAACTATATACAAATATCATTTTTTCAGAACTATTATAAGTTGTCCTAATGATGCAGATTCCAGAGAAAATAATTGTTGTTGGGATTTATCTACAATACCAATGTATAGACAACCATACGAATATTACTACTTTACATTAATTGGGGATAACGAATTGGGAAATTCAACTACAATTATTCGTTTTCATCACTACGCTAATGGTACATTGCATATTGCTTAAATTGTATTTAACTATAAATAACAAGCGTATCATTTAGATTACGACCATTTTACTTAAAAATAATAATCCTGTAAAAAATGACTATTACAATTTTTTTTACATTTTATTTAGTTATCCCAGCGAGCCCTATTAATATCACAGTGGTGGACACAACACAATCTAGTGCCTTGCTAAAGTGGTCTGTAGGTGCTATGACAACTTTTCCACGAGAACTAAATCATAAGATCGAATATAAATCTCAGTGGGATTCCAATCCTGAACATTGGCATGTGAGTGCTTATGCAATTTCCAATAAAAATATAAATTATAAAATGGTAACCTTTATTTTTTGTAGTCTGTAAATGTGAGTGACTTTTGTAGTTCGCCATCAACTTCCAATCAAACCTATTCTTATTCGGATTGTCGAGAACGTGACACTGGATTTTATTATTTCAATGTAACTGATTTAAGATACCCGTTCACGCATTACGATTTTCGAATATATGTACGTTCTTCAGTTGCTCGTGGAGAGGATAAATGGTCTCCTCCCGGTTGCATAACTTTGAAAACTAATCCTTCAAGTAAGTTTATTTATGTATTATTATCTATATCAGGGATGGCGAACCTTTTTGTGCCACCGTGTCAAATAACAATTTTGGTTGGACTTTGTTTTCCCTGCGCGTCAACTAGTTCGATAACTCGTCAATTTTTTTTTTCAAAAACTTTTATATTATCAAACTTTTACACATTTGTGTGTGTTACTAAAATAGTGTGCACGAGTCACTCTGTGACATGTGTGCCATAGGTTCGCCATCCTTAATCTATATGGTTACACGCATACCTAGGCTGCACAGTATGATAATTGAGTTTGTTAAACTTAAACATTTAATTAATAAGTATGCGTTTCGTAAATAATATAATTTAATTGATGTTTAATAATTATAATATAAATTACGTATAGTACCTAGAAGACCTCCACGAACTGATGTTGGAAGCTTTGAGTGTGTTACTTCGCCAGTGGACAAATCCAAAAGAGACGTGTTCATTTACTGGCAAAATATTGAAGACAACGAGAAATGTGGCGATTCATTTGAGTATCGTGCTTACTTCACTTCTACAACTACAGATAACAAAACCATGTTAGTTCTATTTTTCAATTAATTTCTTTTTATATATTTTAATTTATTGCTCAAATAATTTATGAATTGAACATTTTTTCACAATTTAGTATTCACCGCAGTAATGAAACATATTCGAATTATGCCAAGTTTGAAGGACTCAGTACTGACATTGCGTACAATTTTACAGTGTTTTCATCGAATAAAGAAGGTTCATCAATCGAGTATTCAACAATTTTTGTTCCCATTGAATCCGAAAGTCAGTACCTGTTTAAATGTAATTCAAAATTGTTTGAATGAGTTTTAACGTTGACTGTAATTAGAAATTGACTAACCGCTATCATTTACAAAAATCGCATTTGATGAACGAGGTGTATTTGAACTTTCGTGGAAAAATGCCAGTAGTCAAACAATATTAGCACCTAATCAAGCCAATGATTATACTATATTTTGGTGTGAAAATGATAAAGACAGTAATAATAAATACGAGTGTAATGTATGTACAACTTAAATATTATGTGAATAATAGGACATCTTGTAAATATTCTAATTATGCATATTTTATATAAAATGAAAATGAGTCATATATCGTAAAATAATAATTTAAGACGAAATAATCTTAGTACCTATATTGACATAAAATGTATCATGCATTAACTTGAGTTAGTTAAGTTAAGTTTACTTTAACAACATTGAGTTGTAAGTTAATAGTAAACAAATATTACATATCATAGTATATACGTACTCAACCACGGAGTTTAAATATGAATGTAGATAATGTAGAAAAAAAGTATTAAGAGGATGACGCATTTATTTCCTCTTCAACTAGTGTACCTTTGACATAGCGAATTGGCATTCAGTAGAACCAATTTACAGTTGCTAGCTTTAACATTAGTGTGATACAATTATTGAATAATTATACGAATAATATTTAACTTAAGAGGACACCACATCCGCGTCTTATAAACGAGTTTGTACCTACTCATCGTAATACATCGTGGTTGAGCAATACAATAAGTAAATAATTGGTTTAACTACTGTTAAATACGTACCTTTAAACATGATTTTAACATCACTGAAGTTATAACTATGGTTTATTTAACTTTGTCAAAAAGTTAATAAAGACAAAATTAATAACTTACTTTTAACCAGCTTTGGTGTGAAAGTATAAAATATAAGTTTTTAATAGCTTTTAAAATATACACTTAAATTTTAATGTTTTTTCAAAGGCATAGCTTTTTGATTATATTTGTCTTCAAACAGATGTATCCACGCCTAAAAAAAATTTATAACTTGCAACATACCGATTACCTATATCACTTAACTGATATATAGGTACCTATATCGTTCTCATGAATTGTGATTGTTCCATACAGGGTTCGATGAACTGGACGCATATACCAAGTTCAGAAACTTGCTTTAATATAACTGTATCAGATAAAATGAAAGTCTATCAATTTGCAATAAGCGCCAATAGCCAAAGCACACTAAAGGCTGATGTTACTAGTCCTTATCAACCCATTTCTAGCAGTAGTGGGATGGTGTGGGTATCATGCACAGTACTACAAAATAAAAGTAAAGACATTAGTATACTTAATTTTATTACATTTGGAGATTTTAATATCGTATTTATTACTTAATTGTTATTTTTTTTATTAGTCATTGGAAAAATAAAAAACGTTCGTATAAATATGATTGGCTCGACATCTATGGAATTGAGTTGGAATCTTGACTGCTCTGATAGAATAGGTGCAGTTCTAGGATTTCGTATATTTTACTGTCCAGTAGTATCTATACATAATTCTACTTGTAGAGGTAAGAAATTATTATAATTATTTAATTTTACCTACGTCGAAAACAAATTTATAAGGAATCTCGTTTAAAATTTTAAAATCTGAGATACAAAAGAACATTTTTTATGAATTTCTAACTCAAAATAATTTTTTGTGATTTATACGAATTTTGTCGATATTCTAAATTCAAACGTTCATTTTAACTTCAAGAAAAACAATTCTTTAATGAACTCCTATTATTATTACCAAATGAGTCGAGAAAATCTTTATTCTTTTTTGTGAATAAAAATAAAAATTGAATTTATTTTACATTTTAGAACCTATGTTAAATAAGACTGTTAGTGGTAAGATGGCACACGATGACAGCAGAGGAATTGCCAGTATTACAGATCTCAAGTCGCACACAACATACGTGGTTACAATCGCATTAGTTACAAAACATGGTGAAGGGTTATACAGCGATCCTTTGCTCTACACCACTCTAGAAGGAGGTACATTTGAGTATATGAAGTAATATTGTGTCTAGTTAAATGTTTACTCAATCGGTGGAATATTATTCGTGTTCATAAATTAATGCTGTTTAATATTCAGCACCCGATATTCAAAATCTAATAATAAATGTCACGAGACTGACCAATACAACCGTGTCTCTTCAGTGGTCGAATGCTAAATTCAAGAATGGTGTAGTCCGGTACTACCATATTGATTATTATTCGGACGATATATTTCAGCAGCAGGATTTGATTGATTCATTTGACGAACAGCAAGTCGTGAATGAACAACGTCGTATTACCGTTCACGATACAAAGGTTTAATATTTTAATACATATTGTATACAAACATGACGTATATATTCATTAGTCGTACATTTTAGGTTTTAAGAAAAAATTCGATAAGTGTGTAATAATAATTTAATACGATTAATTATATTTCTCAGTGTCGTCTGGATCACTTGGAAAGTTACAGAAGCTATACAATTACCGTCACAGCATGCACAACAGTTTGTTCAGAGCGTTCGCTTCCCATTAAAGTTCGAACAGCTGTCGGGAGTGAGTTAAAGATGTTGAAATCATTTCAATACGATTCGATGTTGTAACGTGCACATTTACGTGTTATTATAGTGCCAGGAAGGGTTTCTCAACCAAATTTGTTTTACGAAAACAGCACTAGGATAGCTGTATTTTGGCCGAAACTCATGAAACCGGCTGGTCCGATTGATTATTACGAATTGATTGTAATGCCTTACAGTAGGCCCAAAAATGCACGAATTACATATTGTGGTTTTTCTTCATCCACCGATTTGTCCGACACACAAATACAGGAAAACCCGAATAATTCAATGTACCAGAGCGTTTGTAAATATCACTGTGCCTACTGGATTTTAGGTTTTTAGTAAGATTTGATTGTTTTATTTTATTCACCTAGCAAATGTGTTCCATATGCCTGTTCCGGATTGTAATAATGAACGGTATAGTGATCGAAAAACGTTGTCATTAATTGTAGTACGAGCTGTGAATAACAATCCACTTAATCCTCATAGGCCATATTATGGCCAGTGGTCGGTTCCTGGATCGGTCAGTTGTGTGTTACCAGGTGATTTTCTGTAACAAATTATTTCTTTTAATCGATTTAAACCAGTCAAATAAAAATATTTAATGAATTATTAAAATAATAATATGCTTCATGTGTAAAAACCAGTATATTACGATAAAATATACCAACTATTTGAACACAAAGTCATAATACAATACCAGTTGGCTACAACATTTATGTCTTACCCATGTATTAAGTTAAAAAGAAAAAATAGCATTTAGGTGTGTATTTTATTTTTGAGTTGCTGAATTCATAAATTTTATAATAAATAAAAATGGCTTATATAATTCATATACAATAGTAGGTTATAGCCGTTATAGGTATAAAAGATAATACGATATACACGGTTAACAAATATTTACGATGACACAACCGTCATAAACTTTAAGAAATAACGTACCTAGTATTGGTATATAGTTACTACATTGTATCCTAAACGTTAAATAAATTATGTAAAATGTAAAATTTTTTCCTGGGTATATTGCAAAACTCAAACGTCCACCATTAAGGTTTAAAACATAAATTACCCTTATTATTACATTTTTCGATCCTTTTGTTAAGATGTATTTTTACTCATACTTTGAACAATAAAGGCTCAGAAGAAGTTATTGATTTTATAAAAATCTTACTTCCTAGCGATAGTTCAAAAGTTTGTAGCATACATAGTCACTACATTTTTTTTGTAAACGTTTATTGTGGCCTAGCGCGGTGAGGTGGTTGCCCTCAGTCACAAGTTCTGAGTGCAAGGATCGGCCAGTGTCACTAATTCTCGGATTGGTGACCACCCCGATGTGGTGTACAAAATTGGATGAACAGGTGTAAAATAACGATCTTCTTATTTTGTTGTTCCCAATTCAAAAACGATAACCGTAGAAACTTTCCATTTTTACCATACTTTCCTATAAGCATTTACTGGTTGAGAGCAACAAATATATTGTTTATTTTAAGTATATTCTGAAGTATTTAACATTTAAGTATATACATTAAATGTAAAATGCACATCATCAAACCCTTATTTCAGTAGCAGTGCAAAAAAATGTTTTAGATAAATATGTTAAACTTATCTTGTCATTTATACAAATATAATCCTATATTATATTAGTTTATGATAGTGATTACTTCAACTTATTTAATGCTGTTTTATACTCAGCACCAATTCAAAACATAATGATAAATGTCACGAGATTGACCAATACGACCATATCACTGCAGTGGTCGCCTCCTGAATTCACGAATGGTGTTGTCCGTTACTACCATATTGATTATTATTTGGACGATACTATATTACAGCAGCATGATTTTAATGGTTCATATTTTGACGAACAGCAAGTCATAGATGAACAACGTCGTTTAACGGTTCATGACACAAAGGTTAGAATTTTGATATATATGTAGTATATAATATATACAGTATGTAGATGTACCTAAATCGTTGTACTCGTGGTTTTTTAACGATTATTATCTATGAATCTAAGATAAGGAATTTTAAAAGAAAAACCTCGTGTCTTTTAAAATGTTGAATGAAAATTTTTTCAATCATAATTTCATAAGTTTTTCAAGAAACCACAGCATCGACGTCTTACTAATCACCTCGATACCTCCTTAAACTTTTGAATATTGACCAGCCGTAGATGTGTGACACCCTTTATAGGCGTAATTTATTTAATTCAAACGAATGATTGGTATACCCATCTTCAGCGAGTTAAAAATTCAGCTAGTAATTTAATAAGATGTAAATACATATATACCTTAGATAGCTGACCTTATATCATAAGCAGTGGATGGAGATGAATCTCTAAATTAAATGCAAGTGAGGTGAACCGTTGCACATTTAGCCGTGGATAGCTGATTAGTTTATACTTATAAAGGTAGGTATATCAATTAAAATAGATCGATTTGCGACATTCCTCTTCCTCTGTTTATTCTTCTAATTCAGAGACTTGACTCTCATATGTGCTTCAAATTATCGGGACATTGGACCTATCCATTGTATACCTATACGCTAAGCTATACCTTATAAAGTAGGTATCTATATAGTATGTATAATATATATATATATACTTTTTTAATATACTGTTGTATCGACGGCGGATGTGAGTGAGTCCAATCTCAATTTATTTCAGATCTACCAGGTGCCTTGGAATACCATCTATTTTTATTCTTACAATTCTGAGACAAAAATTCATAGGTATTTAATAACAATTTAATACTATTAATTGTATTTTTCAGTGTCGTCTGGATCACCTAGAAGGTTATAGAAGATATGCAATTACCATCACAGAATGCACTACAGTTTGTACAGAGCGTTCACTTCCCATAAAAGTGCGAACAGCTATTGGGCGTGAGTTAAAACCTTTAATATCATTCAAATACTTTTCAATGTCTTACATACACATTTATATATAGTGCCAGGAAGAGTTCATCAACTAAATGTATTAAAAACCAGGAATGGGATAGAAATATCTTGGGCAAGACCCGTGAAACCAGCCGGTCCAGTCGATCTTTACGATTTGATTATAGTGCCCGATAGTGGACGCGCAAATTCACAATCTACAAATGATAGTTCATCTTCATCCACTGCTTTAGATTCCGTACAAATACGAGAAAATCCAGACAGTAAAATATATCAATTTATGCCAAACTGTAAGTATCACTGTACATAATAGGTTTTTAATATTATTTAATTAAATTGTTATTTTGTTTTTGTTTTACTTAGCAAAGGATAAATTCCATCCTCATGATCATTTACCTTCTCCCAACTGTTTTCATAAATTTTGGAGTCAACAAAAGTTTTTATTTGCTGTACGAGCTGTGAATAGAAATCTACTTGATCCTCAAAGTCCATATTATGGAAAGTGGTCTGTTCCAAAGCCGGTCACTGTTTGTTCTCTCAAGTAATTTTATATTGAAAATTTCTTCTAATAAATTTCAAATTTTCAAACAAGAGTATTTAATTAATCATTAAAAATATAATATGCTTATTACTTGTTCCATAAAAATCAATAAAAGGTAAATATTTGAACACTAGGCTAAGGCATATGGTGTACCATTAATAAAGTTAAAAAGAAATAATAACATAGGTATATATTTTTTGAGTCACTAAAATCATAAATCTTATTGTAAATAAAGTTAGGTGGTATAAGCGCTGCATATTTATGCTGTATTTTATAAAAAATAATTGTTTTATCTGTTCTTGAAAGATGGGTGCAGTTGTAGAGAAGCAGTCTCAAGGATGAAAGTGATGGACAATGGCAGAGCACTGCGAGAGAACTCTGTAGTTAAGTTTATAAATTATATTGTGAACAATTATTAAAGAACTGTGGTCTGTTATAATGAACATAATATCTTATCAGTATTCATATATAAGAAAATATATTTAAATAAATATTGATATATTGATTATAGTATTGATCACCATTTAATCATCACCTTTTGGTTCAGTAAAAATGCTTCGATTTTCTATTTCAATATTATTCCTGGTGGGTAAGCGAATCTAGTTGAAATGCTAACAGTTTTTATTAGTTTTAAAAAGCTTCGAAAAAACCAAAAAAAAAAGTCAAGGAAAACCTGTGATTTTTTTCACAACACCAGTTGGTTTTGACGAAATCGATTAAGTTTTTTATGTATAAATGGTTGAAATTGGACGCAAACAGGTTGCAATATTGGTATAAAAATGTATTTAAATTTTAAAGTGTAAAAGTATTTACACATAATATAGCCTTAGGTTCTAAAGTTTAAATTCGAATAACAAGTCTGATCTCACCTAGCGAAATCGATGTCTAATATTTTAAAAACTTTTAATGATACCTACGTCATTATAAAAGTACAAAAAACGCTGTTTAAACTATATTTTGGGAGATAATTTTCAACGATAAAATATAATAAGCACGGCATAATATTTTAATCTGAAAATAATAAATAACTTACTTTTATACTGTATAATATAATTTAGTTATGCATAGGTACTGAATTTGAATTTACATAAATTCAATTACAATATGTACATTAAAATAAAGGGAAATAATGTTTGGAAGATAATGGGAATTGCCTATCCTAAATATATTTTCCAAATATTATAAGATAATTATTAATAAAGTATGAGGAAACCTGGGTAGGCAATAGGTACCTATTATTTTTATTTGGATCAATTTTACATATTATTTATTTTTACAGAAAAAAAAATTGTGCCAAGTTTCTAATAGATTATTTTAACATAACAATGTCTCCGCTCAAACTAACAGAATCGTTTTTCGTACTCAATTATTTATTATTTTTTGTGTAATTGTTCAATTGAATCAATTGTCTAGTTTCGTGGTTGTAAAAATAATATTAATACTCTGTCGATTTGTTCTCGAGTCGCAAAGTATACATCACCTGATGAATTTACCACTAGATGTCGCACATAATATGAGTTTTTTAAGTTAAAATAATATTGTTATATTCATCTTTAATAATATGAATTCATCTAGTGTTCATAAGACCTATGGAAATTATGACAACACTTGAATAGTGTTTATTTATCAAAACAATTGTTAAAGCTAAAAAATGCTGAATTTGAAATTTTTTAAAATAAAATACAAAAACACAAATACACAATACAAATTTACATTAAGTGTGTACCTATTATTATAATAATATTATCAATCTGAATAAAAAATTATGCTTTGTAAATATTAAGAACACATTATTCATTCCACCAAAACCAGATATGGTTAACAGGAGGGGGGATGTTAACGGGTCAACACCGAAGTCTATAAAGGAATTGAATTATTATAATGTTAAACAACGATAGAAATAAATAATTGTACCTATTATGTAGGTATCCATGGCTGATCTCAGCTAGGCATGGAGAAATTTTTTTTGGGTGAGGCCTTAAAATATAATATTTTATAACTGGAAGCCCAAAATGTCATACAAATGCCCGAATACTAACCTACCTAAGGCATGTTCAGTTACCATTTGAAGTTAGTGTTTCACGAAACAAATTATGTACCTGAAAAGTCATGTCTAAGAACACTAAAAAAAGATGCAATTTTCAAATCCTCCTCGCCCCAGTTATAAGTTATGACTATAAGCTATTTTTTCTTCATAATAACAATTTAAATTTGAATTACTTATCTTTATTGTTAAAATGAAAAATATTACAGTAGGAAACGGTATTCACTTCTGTATTATATCTGTCTGAAACAAAATGCAAAATGTAGCAACTTGATTTGTGACCAAAAGTGTACCTGCAAACAGTGCAAACATCATTAGTTACGAAGCCTGGATAAATTAAAATGTAATTAATTGCGTTCAATCACTTAAAAGTAAAACGCAAAAGAATCATCGTGTCTATTAATTGATAAAATATAAATTAATATATAATATAATTACCAAATAGTGACTGTGTGAGACGTAAATGGATTTCATTTTTATTGCAGACAATTTTTCTTTTTTAATGTTTTCAACTGTTCAACATTTCAGCTTCCAAGATATAAATCATTTTTAAGATAGATTATATTTTAATGAGCACGGATAATGTTGTTTTTCACTATTCAAAAGGCGATATTGCCTTTATATAAATTAGTTGTTTTAATAAAGTATACACAATATAATATAATGATGTTTAGGTACTCTGCAAGCTCACTTGACTGTTACTGTGTACAAACGAGGTTGATAACTTTCACTACTTTTATTAAAACCATATTATTTAAAACAAATAAGTGAGAACAAGTAAGTGGGTAAATACCACCCTTAGGTATGTTGTACGTACAAAAGGTGTCGTCGAGTAGAGTCGAGTATACGAAAAAAGGTCTGTCAACCTATCTATATTTTTTTACTTTACTGAGTTATATGACATATTTTTTGATATTGTTATAAAAATGAAACATTATTTCTCTATTGATAAAATGGCAGGTAGAATTATTTTTTGTCAAAATCGTAGAATTTATTTTATTATTATAATAGCTAGTATAGGTATAATATATAATATATATTTATATAATTTATTATTGTTATTAACTTTAGTCAATACTGACTTATGGTCATTACTATAGAACAGTGTGAATAGGATCATGAAAAAGATAGGCCATAAATTAAAATAAATCCAAATAACTTAAAAATGCCATTGAGTACCATAATAAAATATATTTGAAAAAGTTTCTATTCCTCATGAACTATATAATATTTTGTACAACAAGATAACTCTATCCTCGTTATTCTTACCTTAATATCTAATTTTACAAAAATTCGAACTTCAAATGCTCATGAAATAAATTTGGTCTATGTACCTTTATTATTTTCAAATAACTTCATTAAAAGAAAAATATTGAGGAAATTTTACTTATACAAATTTTACTAAGGAACAAAAATGGTTTCAACAACATTTATACAAATAATTCAAAAACTTCAAATGTCTATGAATAGCTCAAAAGGAGTCAAAATATTTTAAAATTGTACCATAATGTATAGAAAATCATAATATAAACATTAAGTAAAATTTTCAACATAATATATGGTTATTTGTTTTTGAATTACATCAAAATAAGAAAATCGATTTTGTCAAAAACTGGTTTTATGTAGAAGTTACCGTTTTTCTTTCACTTTTTTTTGTTTTTTACTAATATTAATATGTTTTCCGAAGCTGAAAATCGGCAGACGCACTATTTATGATCACTGTACATATAATAATATGAGTATTTGATAATTGTGCGTCAGTACTCAACACAGTATTATTTATATTTTCTGCGAATAAGGAAGTTTAATGCAATTGAAGTATTAGATAACTATTAACTGATAATTTGTTGCCGTGGCCGGGAAACCGTGAATTCATCCCAAGGCTTAATATTTCCTTAATTATTTCAGACGTAAATTATAATATGGGTACATCGACATTTTTTTCTTTTTTAGTTTATACTTTATACATTAAGGACGAATTAGATAATTTGCAAACCAAATCAAATTACAAATCTATATGAGGTACATTTGAACACATTTGAATGTTTAACATAAATAAATAATAATACACCAGATTAAGTTTTATACAAACATTTTTTGTATATTTAAATTAAAAAACAACTCATTCATGATCAGTTTTTTAACCAGATTAACACTTATTATGTAAATTGACTTCACAAAACAAAAACACGTTTGCTTATAAATAATAGTTAGGTAAGTTCAGGATAGAGCCGGCGAGTTACCGAGTTGAACTCGGTGGGCCGGCTTAGTTGTTATATTTATTATTAATCTATGTCAACATTACTGCTTAATATAATATGTATAATTTATATAATATGATGTTATTGTTAAAATATGGATACCTATTAATGACTTTATCTTATTGAAAAATGGGCCGTTAACTTTTTTAGGGCCGGTTAAAATCGTAAAACTCGGTGGGCCGACACCTTGCCTATCCGGCGCTGGGTAAGTTCCAGATATAACTATACTAAAGTGTTAACAATTTCTTATCACAAATTTGTACTTTAATAGTACATAACTACACTTAATACTTATAATGAAAATAATAAGTTAAAATCCAGCCATGGACTATAAGCTATCGTCTAATGAGGTTCGCAATCAATATTATAATTTTCAAAGGACATTTTGATTAAAATAATTTAATAAAACTATCCACCCATTAAATATCTAACTAGGTACACCATGAGTTATTATATACCTATAATAAAACAATAAGTTGTATTTAATTGCATGTAATTATGAATTACATTAAAATGAAGGAGTTATTATCTTGTAAAACAAATTTGTGAACTATACGATTTAATGAATAGTAACTTACCGAACGACTATAATTATAAAATATTGTGATATAATGGTAGGTATAGGTATTAAATACATTTTTATAAAAACATATAGACATATAATAGAACATCGTTTCAGTTTTCATAAGTTCGGTATAGAAAATGGAACATTTTACATTGTCGGGAGAGGAGGGTGACACAAAGTTCCAGGGAGAAAAAAGCCCCTTAAGCCCACACACTACATCTTATTTGTTGGAAATAATAAATCATCGATGTATCAGAAATACCTACTAATGATGTTCATTAGATATCTTTTAACATTCTTATACTATTGATTGAATATAACTTTGTAATATAAAATATTATACCGACTAACCTACCTAATGTGATATCATCTATCACGGTCTGTTCTACTGACGGCTGTAGAAATATTTAAATAATATATATTCATGTATGTGTAGTAACAAGTATTGTGCACATAGGTGTACTGATTTAATATAATTATAACTGTAGACATTTGCATCTTTAAAACATAATTATTATGCTGATCAATCTTAAATCGTGCCCACGGACGGAAAATAATTGTAAACTTACTGCACTCAATACATTT